TTGCACTGGGCTTTTTTCACCAGATTAGTCCCCCGTCAACCGCCGGGACCTTCCTTTCCTGCGCAAGCTTTCTATCCTCCGCTATGGTCCCTTCCTCCTGTGACACCAACACCTCCTGGAAGTGACGCGTATGCAACACAATGGTGTTTCATACAGTAGAAGGGACACAATCATGATATGACGGTAGATTTTTCGCTTCCCTTCCTCATCCTCCCTTCCTCTCTCCACTGCCCTCCAGCTGCCACTGCAGCACCATGTGGAATGAACGGAAGTGTGCTAAGCAGGTGTTTATATAGCCCTAAGAGTGTTATCACAACTATCCTGCTACAAAACATTGATATCTCAAATCCTGTAAGCTACCCGATTTGTTAGCGGTTTGTTTATCCCATGAGCTTCCTTCTCACTCACTTCATTTTGCGGACGGACACACATACATACATACACACACACACACACATACAGATACACAAACCGACACACAAAGTTAGCGCTTTATAAAATAGAAGGATATAAAGATGGTGTAGTATGTTTGGATGAGTAGACGCTACAGGGAAAGGTCAAATTCAAAAAGTGAAATCGAAAACTATCGAAACTAACAAGCCAAAGTGATTCACTACTTATGGGAAAATCTAATATTTTGGCACATTTTCAATCTTGCACACTCACGCTGGTATTCTACAAGGGCGGTGGGAGGTAGTGGGCAATCGCGGCGGAGTAGCTAGTCCAGCAACAGTAATCCGCTTTACGGTGGCAGAAGGAAGAAGCTTTTGTATGTGTGAACCATTTTGTTTGTGCAATAAGAGCTAATCATGTATTCAAATCATGTATTCAAATAGAGGTATTCGTCGTTGATTTGTAAGCCTGTAGTGCTCAGCACACCTCCCTCCCTGCCTCTCCCCCCACAAATACATGCCGCCTACTCTGCTTACAAAAGCTCCGTTATGCGAATCTTCTCGGGTGAAGAGAAGGATTTGAAGGGATTCTCCTAGTATTACCTGAGAGGAGGGATAGCATATGGCCAATTGATTACCGAACCTATGTACATACATCTCCACACAGGTGTACGATCCGCGCTATACGGCTAAAATGTGCCCCGATGTGAACTAGTGCAAATTGTTGGATTTTCTCAGTTCTTCGATTTGACTTCCAAGTTCCTCTCATTATATTTATGTGTGTACATCTAGTTATGAGAAGGTTGAATTCAATTCCACCTATTTTTATTTGGGATGGGCGCTTATTCGTGTTGGAGAGTTCTCCATCTTCCATTGTATTCGTTAAATGGCTATATTACAGCTGTCGCCTCACCATTCTTTATGAATCCAGAGCATATTCCAACTAAGAATGGTGTCGCTTACGAAGATTTAAATCGAGATTTCCCATCTTTGGATAATCAAGTTAAAGGCGGTAAGAGTTTCTTCCCCTCACTTAGTCATTTTCAAAGTTGTTTCGGATTCAGTTTCTATTTGTGTTCTTGCTCTATAGTCCGATTTTCAAAGGTTGTAATTTGAGTTTGTAGTTTGTAGTTAGACGGAAGCTATTATTTAAGATTCCTTATACATCCATAACAACCAATTGAGTGAGCACTGCATGTTGCAGCTTACACAGTTAAGGTGCTGCTGGCCTTCGCTTTCAAGGTGGAAGTTCAGGTTTCAAGCCTAAAAGCCGCATTTACTTTGTTACAGGATCGCCCACTGGTGTCGAATTACGTGTACTTACCTTAAATGTATGGTGTCTTCCACAACCTTGGCCTATTGGCAGCAAAGATCGAAAGTTTCGCTTGAAAAAGCTTGCCGATGCTATTCTTGAGGAGAAATACGATATTGTAGGATTACAGGTATGTTAGGCTCAGTGAAATTTAAGCATGTTCTGTGCGAAGACTAAGAATACATGAACGGATTTTCATGTCCCTTCTTTTGGGGCGGGATAGCACACCCAGACAGATGAGGTAGAACACGGGTTAGCGAATCTAGCGCAAACGCTCCCAATGACTCCACCAGCATCGTCCTTAATGTTGACTTTTCTCACAGATCCTCTATGGGACTAGACGCGCATTCAAAGGCTTATGCAATAGTGAGCAGAAGCCGATTGCGTGGCGTAATGGGTACTATCAAATGCTTCCAGTGATTCTGTGGATCTAGTAAATTAGCTATCATAACAATTGTGTCAGTACCTGTAAAAGGAGTTGGCTTTTCCTAATTGAATAAATAAATATTGCGTATGAGGATCGGGTCAAGCGCAGCAGTTAGTTTTGCAGGTCGAGTGTGGAGAACTATGCATCCATCGCGCGACCACATGAACGATACGACTTACTCGTCTCTAAAAGTACCAGGACTAAGCTCTTAAGAAGGAAGCACGCCGCGATTGAAAATGTTGTTTCCGATATCGATCACGCATACGATCGTGTGATCGCATGGTCGATACGTAGCAACCCTTCACTCTGACAGCAGAAATACGATCCGACCCTAAGAAAGCTATAAGACACCTAGAGGAGTTCCAACAATCGATTCCCCGTGTAACCCTCCCCTAGGCAGACCAAACCGCGAAATTGACCCTGTGAAAGATTGGATCGAGTAAGAAGCTTTTTAGATCTGAAAAAGAATATAGCGGTAGCAAGCCTAGTTGGCGAAGGAAACGTCTTTCAATTTTGCAGCATCCTACGAGCACCCAAAACAAGACACGTGCAACTCTAGCATATGATAGGACAGAAGTAGCCATATCGATCCTTTAATAAAATGTGACCCT